CCGCATTTCTATCATGGTGGAGATGCTGTGTAAACCATGGCTTGCATTCCCCGAAATTCCACAGGCACCCAATGCGGTCGCCGGAGGCATTCCCAATTGCTTCTAAATAACATGCTGCTTTTGTCTGTACCAACAACAACAACAAACATCCGACGACAGCTGGGTCGTCGCAAGTTGCCGCCAAGGGTCCATAGTACCTGGAAGCACGGGTGCGAGTAACGTTGATCGAGCCCTCACCGTCTAATTACTGACACCGAGATCCTGTAACATACTTCCTTGTTACCCACAGCCCATGCATTCTCGTCTGCACATCTTGGTGCGTCTTTGGGAGTGAATCGTTGCTCGCCATGCTCGTCTTGCGCAATGAAAGCCGTGGCTACTGAGCTACAGTGGAAGCCTGTTCGCGCGACCTCGGCATGTCCATGCAGCCCAGTTGCCGGAAAACGGCCCTCCGGACTTCCACGTCGACGTCCTCGTCCTTGCGCAGCACACAGGGTTGCTCTGAGCTTTTCCTTCCTTTCGACTGTCGGATGCAACACTGGCCCCACCGCAGCTACAAGGAGGCTTGCTGAGTCAGTGGCTACCAGGAAGAAGTGAAGCATGTTACTGGCAAAGAGTGCGGCGATGCACTGGATACAAGCCTAGGCGATTGAAGCTTTGTCTTCAGTGTCTTCCGCTCAGTCCAGCATGCACCGACATCAGGAATTGCTGGCAGGCGGCAAGCAATGACATGGTCCACACGAGGACGGTTCCGCCTCAAACAACGACACGGAATGTGCAGACACAGGGGACTGTCACGGTGGCTGCTAGGGCTGCTAGGGTCAGCGCTGGCTCTCAGGCAAGACATGAGAAACGCCAGGGACTCCAGCGACTGGGAGATCCTCACAGTTGCTGCATCCAGTGAATGAAGGAGTAAGAGTCGCTAAATGTCAGCTCCATGCCTCACAACCTTCAGCGCGCGCACCAGCTTTCCAAAGCGGATCAAGCGCAAAATCCTGGCAAGTCAGTCCAAAGCCACGCCGCCCTCTCCCCGTTCTGTACATGCCGTTGCATCTCCTGCCTACTATGCCAAAGCGCATCCCGAATGCAAAAGGAATCAGATCAAAACTCGCGGATATCAGCACATAGTCTGTCTTTGCTGCAGGGATAGTTGCAGCGGAGCGGCATTGGCTTGATGGGGAAGTTCTCTGCTAGCACGTAGACAGTCCAGGACAACACTACCACCTGAACAGCGGCCCATGCCAACGCAGGCCAACTACCAAGGATTGAAGCACGGTCGATTAACTGCAGCAGTTACTTCAGGGACAGTTGGGGAGATGCAAGATTGAATCGCAACTTCCCCCAACTGACAATGGACGCCGCGAGACATACGCAGGCAGGCATGGTCAAACATGTATCTACCGAATGCTTTCAACAGCTACAAGTATACAGATAAGGAGATGCTTGAGCGCACATGCATTTGTATCCATTCTTCAGTACTTCCGTCAGGCTTATCTTGACCCGCTCGGCAAGCACCCATGGTGTGTTTCTACAACAGCGGAGCGGAAAACGAATCCTCGAAGGGACACTGGATTTGACAAAGCCGTGAAGTTAGCACAATTCATTCTGCTAATTACATACCAGTGTTTGTTTTCAGGGGGACGCCATAGCTTTCCCCAAGGAGACGCTGCGATGGCCACAGTCGGGACATGATTTCAATGTTCATGAATGATGGGGGCCTAGTGCCATACTCTGCGATGCCCGTTCGATATGTCCTGGGTCCATATCCAGCCAGTGATGCAGGTAGCACCGAAAGCAAAACAAAATCGATGTGGGACGGGCAAAATCCATGTGCTGTACAATCTATTAAAGTCGAGACAAAGGAAATCTAGACAGCTCGAGCAAACGGTTCTCTTGATCTCGGCGCGAGACTCCCGGAATCTCAGCATCTCAACACAGCCAGAGCCAGCATTAAGGTGTTGGCACATGATGCCCCCACAGCGCAAAGCATCATTACATCTACACAGCCATGTACATCTAGATGCATTCATATTACGAATTCGTCACGCACCCACGGACACAAACACTCCATGCACAAACGACACATGCGTGCATGTGTTTTGCATATGTATCTATGTGTAGACATTTAAAACGAATAGGTCCTGCAAGTGTGCCTTGCATATTTGTATATATGCATGAGTTTAGAAATATAACATATGTTATTTGTATACATCCATACACGTGTGTGCACACACGCACACACACAATATATGTGTGTGTACAATTGTACACACATTCGCCGATTACGATTGCTACGACGACTACTAAACAAATAAATAAATCATATATATATATGTATGTATGTATGTATGTCTGTATATATATATATATACACATGTGCGTGTGTGTGCGTGTGCATGTGGATGTATGCGCATGCTCTGCTGCGCCGCAAAAAGAGGACAACACAACAACTTCTTTTAATTCAGCTTGATCGGTCTGCTCAGGAGAATCGAGAAAAGTGCCACCGAATCCCTTACAACTCAATGAAAACCCATCTCCCATCTCCAGCTTCCCTGCAAAGCTCAATTTATCAGGCCAGACACACGCATGCAGCAAATTCCAGGAACGTCTGCAACCAAGCAGCCAATAAGTCAATGTAATTGGAAAATCCTCCCCTCCAGAACATCCCCCTCGGTTGCAAAAGCTGGGCTGACCGCAGTTAGCACGCAACATAAAGTAAGGATGTTGAAAAACGCTTGGACATAGGGGCATGTGGCAGCATTGTCAAGCAAGGCACTCCAACAACATGATGCAGCAAGACACTAACAGAAGTGCGAAGTGAAAATCCAAATTCGCCCAACACCTTTCGAGACTACTGCGCGTTATTTCAGCAGAGCAGCTGTAGTATTGATATCCGCAGAGTGACATCGATCCTTGGCTTCCCAAAAGGAAAGAGCTTTGTCCGTGCCTGCCCGGCTAGCAGTCCAAAAAGCAAAGCACAGTGCAGACAAGCCGCGTAAATATCACCTAGCTGCTGCAGCAAGATTTGTTTCTGTGGCTCGGGAGTCTGTGAGTCTTTCGGTCAAAATCATGTGGCAGGTTATGGTGGGTGTGACATCTACTTTGAAGTGACTCTCCTTGCTGCCAGGGACGGAAAACACCATATCCACGTAGAAAAGGAAATCGTTTCCTGAGGTGCCGCAGGTATCCTCTTCGGCTCGGGATGCTGCAGTTTCCAGGTCCCCTGCCCCAAGCGAATCTGTCTTGGATAGAGCTTTGGTAGAACCCATAGTCCAGCAAATAGCCAATCCTCAGCCACAGCGCATGAAGCCTGTGCCAGCTGCGGGACATGCCCGTAAGCGCGCCAACTCCAGTTCAGTCTTGCATGCAAGGTGCTCCCAGCCATCATACTGCAGTTCGAGTGCCATGCTGCAGATCTGGGCCCGATTCAAAACTCTTTCTGTTGAGCAGGTCACAGCAGGTCACAGCTGTCAGTAAGCACAGTGCATTCAGGCACAGAAGCCCTGCAAGAAAGAGCTCGAACTTCTCCTGGAGCACCAGATTTTCATGTATCCGGAAGTTCCTCACCACCAACCCGAAATGCCCTGTGAACCATGCCGGTCCGAGATGAAGAAGGCTTGCAGGCGCTGGAATCGCGTCCGTGGGGGTTCGGCAATCTCCTTCGACGAATCCTCCTGGATTTGGAGATTTGAGCATTAGATTGCGGAATCTTCCGCAAGCTTTCTAATCTTATTGGGCGTGACTCTTGCACTGTTTGGCTTTCAAGGCCCGGTAGTCAAATTTGCCGGCTCACTCACCACATCCCTCATAACTCCTACTGCGTGGTCCCCCACAGAGCACGCCCCTAAACGAAAAGCAAAAAACAAGACTACACGTGACAAAGAACACCAACGATACACACTGCGGCTTGCAGTCATTCATCTTTCATGCCGGTCCCGCCTTAACTTATCTGTGGACTCGCCCCCTACCTGGCCCTCGACGGGAACAGCAAACACGTCCATAACGGAGAGAAGCGGGATCAGAAGTTCGATTGCGCCATAGGGTGTATTGTCATGATCATGTGAGAGCTCTTTTTCCAAGCCAGTCATGGATGAACGAAGGAAGGAAGAAGCGGAAAAGACAATCCTCAGTGGCAGTGATGGAGCAGGCGCGAGATTCCCCATTTCTTGTCGACGCAGGAGTGGGATTTCCACAAACTTGGAGCAGTTAGTGTGACCACATTACAAAAAGTTTTATTCAAGACTGCGTGTTCAGCGAAGGCAGGGTCCTCCCTGAAAGCTTGCCCTGCTTCTTCGTCTCCATTCTTCTCGAAGTTCGCCGAATATGGAGAGTGAAGACCAGGACTGCAGTGATTTCTTGTCAAAACATGCAACTGAAAGAGCGGTGCAAAGAGCTGCGGCAGTGGCCATCTGGCCTGCGAGAGCCCTCTTTCGAGGTGTTTCGGACAGGCTGCACCTTGAAGCACATCACGCTTAACGAATGCAGGTCAGTGCCAATGAGACGCATGCGGTAAGAGATTCGAGCCTTGTTTACTGAGCACGTTACGACGGGCTCCTCGTGTCTCGTCTGCTCCTGAGGTACGGACCGTACGGACTCGAGAACTTCACTTGAAAACCTCAAGTGCTCACTGCGTGGGTCCTGAGGGAACTTTCTCAACCTGAGATCGTCATCGCGAATGCTCGCATCTACTCCATCACATGAGGTCAGGGGCTAACTACACCCCCAGGAATCATTGCAAAGAACCTTGGCCAGTCCAAGCAGCACTTTCACCGAAACTCTGATGCTGGAGATGTCGTCTGCTTTAGAGACAACACCTTCCGCTGGCAGGCTGTCTCCGAGGCTCTCTACGCAAAGCTACTCGCATCGGCGTATCGGGCGTAGACCTGCCTTTCGATCCTGTTCCTGCCAACCTTTGATCGGCATGCAGTGGAATGCTCGTGAAGGCTCCGGGGGTAGAGAAACATGCTACACAGGTATAAAAGGGCAGGAACGATTCAAGCCAGGGCGCACGAGCCACTCGTCAAATCCGTATGGTATGATTTTCTCAGAGGGCAACGAAACCTGTCCCAGCCTGGTCGACAAAGCCTTTTGTAACACATGTGCAGCTGCCGTCCTCTGAGCCGCTCACGCATCATCGGCTTTCCCAAAGTCCTTGTCCCAAACTGTGAAGCCCAAAGAATCGCCGTAGTGAAAATCCTTGGATGCATGCCAAGCTCAAAGAGGGTGACGGAAGAGCCAATTCATTCGAGCAGCGGTGATGCGCGCGCAAACGTCCCATCTAGGGCTCAAGTCCTGGGAAGAAACCATGCCGATCCTTCTCTCAACATGTAGACACTTGTGGCTTCTTCCACAGTGCGGTGAAGTCTCATTGGCGACGGTTGGTGTTTTGAATGTCGAACTTCCCCTGCCTCGCATGCCAGAGCAGAGGCAATACATTGCTGGTGCTCTGCTGCGCTACTTCGCGATACCTGACTCCTTGGTCGCTCCTGCGTATCATGTACAGTCTCTGCTCTGCACCCTGTGGCAGTCATCCAGGCGCACTGACTTGGCTGCATGGTCGCAGACACACTATTGCGACTACCTCTTGTGTGTTGCAATCGTCATCCGAGTCTCCCGCCTTGCACTGCACAAACGCAGTACGGGTCTGAGGACATACCTTCCAACAATCAAGTCGTAGCGAAACAAGCACATGGCACAGGACCAGGAACATGCATGCTGCTGCAGATTGCAATCTGCAAAGATGTCAATGTGAAAGCGTACTTGGCTTTCTTGGTTGGCTGCCAGCTATTTCAATGTTCAGAAGCATCCCATCACGTTCGGCCTGGGACGAGGTCAGCCTCGCGAAGTCCTCCAAGTACGGATATGCCACACTGCAAACAACATTTATCTCCGGCCGCAAGCTCCCTTCAGCCACTGGTACTCAAAAAGTTCATGCAGCAGCCAACTGCAAAGCCTGCCTGTGGCTCTCCAGATAGTAACCTTGCGTGTGTTTTTTTGCCGCAAACCCCAAGGTCAAACACTGCCACGGTTCCGCTGTCCAGGAGGAAGCTGGAGCTCTTGCTTCTTTGCTATATATTTGCTATTGAGGACTAGGACGACTTGACTTGCTACTACTGCTTGTTCTCCTAAGTGCATGTATCTTTTTTTCAATGTCGACATTGGGCAGAGCGTACATAACCACTACCACCACCATCAGCAGCACCAGCAGCACGAGCAGCACGAGCAGCACCGGCAGCACCAGCACCCACCTCACCGTCCACCCACCCCCACCACCACCCCCCCCAGCCCCCCCACCCCCCCCCACCCCCACCCACCA